TGCGCGCAAGTCTAGTCCGTCTTGGAGGAATACCCCTAATGACAAGAGACATGCTGCACAATTCTCCATATAATAGACAGGATATAGGCGCGTCTGCAGCCATTGTTCGTCTATTTGGTAGTTTAGGAACACAGCTCCTTTAGCAATAATGCTTCCTACCGCTCCTTGTTGTGCCGTTTGAGTACGGATAGGAGTCTGGAGATACTCGAATTCCGAGAAGTCTCTTATGTCATTTGTAATGTGCAATGATGCACCTGAGTCCAGTAGCCACTCATTCGCTGAGAAGCGATTTTTTCCTTTACCCTTACAACGTGAGCACGCAGCGTAATCGCGCGAATGAATACATTGTACATTTTTCAAGCCGCTACTAAGTACATTTACAAATGTCCGAGCGCCGTTGTGCAAGTCAGAAGCGGCTGTTAAAGTGCTGTTAGTAACTTGCTTAGGGTTAGGAATATGAGTGACATACTCATTACCCCAGTCGTCGTAGCCATCGTATGGCTCCATGCAGCGGAGCTCACCCGTTAATGGGTTCCGAAAACTCTCGTCGACGATAGGGGGCACAAGGCCCGCGGCCTGCGCTATCATGCCGTTTAACTCGGCGTCGTGCGCGTCGATGTCTTCTTCGTCTGTTGCCCAGATGATGGACCTTTCTTCAGCATCGCGGAAGTCGTCGTCCTCGCTGATGTATTCATCGCGCATGACCTCGTCAATGCGATCGGCCATGTCGTCGTCACTGAGCTTGCTGCGCTTTGAGGCGCGCGACTCAGTGTCCGAGGGGACTTCTTCGATGTGAGCGTTGCTCACGACTTCCTTCAGCGCGCGGATGGTTTCCGGCGTGCCGGCGACGTCTAGGTCTTTGGCGAGCTGGAGGGCTTCTCCGAGCCAGTCACCGCGAGCGCGCTTCTTGCCCTTGTTAGGGGCAGGTGCTGCGACCTTTCGAGTCCTGCTGCCTGAAGGCGCTAACTCGACGACGGTACTGATTGTCGGGGCGGGGATCGACACGGTGTCGGCGATGTGCATTTCTGCGTGCTTGTCGTGCGAATGCGGCTTACCATGGTTTTTACCGCCGCGCTTTCCCCTAGGAGTAAAGCCCTTGGCTTTCTCCTTGCCCTTGTCCTTCCACTCCTTCTTGCCCGCGCTGCTGCTGCCCTCAGGGCGCTGCTGCTGCGAGAAGGAGGGATTGCCCTTCTTCTGCTTGATAGCAGAAATCTTCTGGGCGGACGACTGCCCCTTGTTCTTCGACTGTTCCCAGGAGGCGGTTAAGGCATCCTGGGCGCTGCTCGGCGTGAGATCCTTGATCTCAATTTTGTTGAGAGCTAGCTGAATAGCCGTCTCGTACCGAGGTGGAGCGGCCCCCAGAATTATGAGGGTTCTCATCTGCGGCGGCAGAGAGAGGCCGGCTCCATCGAGCTCGTCGAGATTGCTCTGGATCTTTGAGATCGCAGGGCCGGGGTGCTCGTTGGCCGGAATACGGACGTTTATTGCTGCCTTGAAGAAGGCAAAAGCCCCCATGGCACTAGTCCCTCCGTAGAGCCCTTTCAGGGTATTCCAGATAGTCTTCGCAGTCGTCTTCGTTCTGACGAGCTGCGCGACTTCGACGCTTAGGCGCAATCGAATGCTGCCCATGGCCTTGGATTGCATCTGCATCCATTCGAGGACCTCAGCGCGGTTTCCTCCGTCCGTAGCCAAAACAGGCTCATCGAAGCCGTTGGGTATCTCGATGAGAATCCAGACACCTTGCGACTGCAAGTATGCTTTCATCAAATCGGCCCATCGGCGGTAGTTCGATCCGTCAAGGACGGGGACGAGGTTCTGCAGAGAGTTCGACATTTTGTTTAGTGGTGGTAGAGCGGTTGGTTGATAAGGTTCTGTGAACGCTTTTATCAGTGCTCTGACTTATGCTGCCGGGACGGCGCTGACACCACACTGGACTCATTGTTTGGGATGGTGACAGCTGAGCTGTGCACGACCTGCAGCCGTATAGGCGCAAAGTCTCCCATTGACGTCAAAGCCCCTAAGGGCGACGTCCAGGCAAGCTAACCTGACCCGCAGCGGACGCAGCCTCTAGGGCGCTGTACCGCGCAGTGTTCAGGGCTCATAACCTGACGAGCAGGCTTCCTTACGCAGTGTAGCGGGACACTTAGCTTACCTGGTTGTTTAAGCTGTGAGGCTTGATGCACACAAAGTTGCTGTTGAGCGACTTGGATTGTACTACGCTACAGGGGTCCTTATATACATGTAGGAGACCGTCTGACTAAGCTACTGTATAGTACCAATCCTGATGCATGTGATTCTATCTACGATGCATGTGTTACTCCTGTTACCCGGAGTACCGGTGTGTGAACTCGGCTGCCTAGTTAGGCGCTCTCTACTGTTCAACAGGAGGCAGACCCAATCCTCCTTGCCTGGAACTACCCATCCTTCAGGTTGTTCCATGTAGATTTCCTCTTTGAGTTCACTGTTGAGGAAAGCTGTTCTTGACATCCATTGAGTCCATCTCCCAGTCTTCAAGTGCGGCATGTGCAAACATATATCAAAGTGATTCAAAACAAGCGACTGGTGAGAATGTCTCATGGTAGTCTTCACCCCAGACTTCAGTGAAGCCTTTTGCTACTAGCCATGCCTTGTACCGGCCATTGTGCTTGTGTGCGTACACCCATCTGTTCTTGACTATCTTCCTGTTCTTGGGACAGGGAACCAAGATCCAGGTGCCATTTTGCTCATGTGACTTCATTTCAGAGCCTTCAGCGGCATGCCAGTGGTCCCATTCAAGGGATTTCCTTGCATCTGAATGTGAGGTAGGAACTGACTCAGAGTAGCTAGCTTCCTTGAGAGCCTGCAGTATCATAAATGCTTCCGTGCGCTGATCTCCATGAGTATCAGTATGACAGTTGATCCGAGCTGGAGGCTCATCACCATAAATGTTATCCTTATTCCTATTAGGATTTCTCCCAGCATTATCACAATGTTGTCAAGCATATTGAGGCTGAGGAGGTGGAACAGGATCAGGATGTTGCTCAGGAAGTTGTTGGTCAGGTTCTCCCACTGGTTCTGGTTTGTCAATCTCTTGGACATCTTCACTCTCTACTGGTAGAGGAAGTGGTATTTCGATCTGTTCCTCATCATCATCCTCAGAATCAGAGTCTATAGGATCGAAAAGTGGTGGCCCCAGAGTCTTTGGATTGGCCAAATCTTTGCATGCCGGGAAGGAATCTTCATCAAAGGTCACATCACGAGACACAATGATCCGTTGACTGGAGGCATCCCAGAACTTGTAGCCCTTGGAGCCTTGCTCATATCCAATGAAGATCATCTCAATAGCCTTTTTATCGAGTTTCCCTTGTCTTTGTTCCTTAGGCACATGCACGAATGCCTTGCAACCGAATACTCTGAAGTACAGAATATCTGGGACCATGCCATCCCAGAGAGTTATTGGGCATTGCCATTTAAGGTGTCGCATAGGCTGGCAATTGTAAATATGGACCACAGTATCGACTGCAAGTTGCCAAAAACTGTGGCTTAGACCAGCATGGTGAAGCATAGCCATAGCCTTTTCCATGATTGTGTGATTCCAGCGTTCAGCTCGTCCATTTTGTTGAGGCGAGTGTGCAACCATCTTTTGATGAACTATCCCATAGGATTTGAGATGGGCCGTGAAAGCATCAGAAGTGTATTCCCCCCCTTGATCCGAGCATATGTGGATAAGTTTATGACCAGTAACATTCCCAGCCCATGCCTTAAAGTCCTCAAATGCTTGGAGTGACTCAGACTTATGACAAAGGTAATAGGCTCATCCTAGACTAGTGTAGTCATCCAGGAACGAAATGAAGTACTTGAATCCACCATTGATTGCTTGGGTATGCATAGGACCATCTTCGTCAGTATGAACCAGCTCAAGAGGCTTGGTAGCACATTTGTAAGACGTGGGGAAAGGAGTGTGATGAGACTTGCCCCATTGACAACCTTCACAGGGAGATTGATCTTCAACTCCCACTGGATCTACACCTTTGGTATGATCAGGTAAACAGTGAATAACTTCCTTAGATGGATGCCCCATCCGGCGATGCCCAATACAAAAAGGGGTAGACAGCAGTGCTGCCAATTTCCTGTCCAGGGTGTCCATAAACGTAAAATACAAGTTGTTTAGGAAGTTGTACAGTGCCTCCATAACAATATTGCCAGAAACTTTGCCATGCGAAAATGTTTGGTCATAGATGACCATAGAACCAGAACCTTGAACAAGGGTATGACCCGATTTCTCCACAATACCTGTTGAAAACAAACAGCCCAAAGCTTGAGGAATATATGCAACATTTGATATTGTGATCAGAATGCACTTGTCCCCTTTGACTGTGCAAAAACCTTTGATAGTGCCTGAACCAAGGGCCTCGATTTTTGCACTTCCTGCAGTGCCAAACGTAACAGGAGTTGAGTACGGGGAATAATTCCAAAAGTAATCCAGAGAATTGATGACTGTTTGACTTGCTCCTGAATCCATGAGCCAAATTATGCACTTACCCATATGTTGATGTGAATGAGACTTATTCACACCGGGGCAATAAAATGACGAGCTCAATTTTCCGGATCCTGCATCAGTAGACGCGCCAGTATGTACAGTGAGGGAGCCAGCTGTACAAGGAGGACAGACTTTACATGAAGGATCTGTACAAGTAGTATATTTGACCTCTTCAACTTGACCGTTGGTAGAAGACGTGTTGAAATGAATTCACACTCTAGTACTGGTTGGATGGTGTAATGGTAACACCTCCCGGTGCTTATGGGATGACCTGTGTTCAATCCCCAGTCTGACCAACTTTTCGTGTTTTATCAGGTTATGAGCCCTGTGTACGCTAGGAGAAAGCTGGGTCAGAGTAACCCTCGCCTTGACTAAGATTAGTCAAGGGTAACTCCAGTTCACTGAAAAGTTGGTTCCTGAACTGAATGTCCGAGAGCATGACTTCAGGGGGAGTGTTGAAATGAATTCACACTCTAGTACTGGTTGGATGGTGTAATGGGTAACACCTCCCGGTGCTTATGGGATGACCTGGGTTCAATCCCCAGTCTGACCAACTTTTTGTGTTTTATCAAGACGAACCCGACAAAGTGACCTTGGTCCCATCATTGGTAGTGTGTACAACCACTGAGTTTGCCTTCTTGCCATTACTGTTGCCACCTTCGCCTTTCCCCTTGCCCTTGATACCACCCTTCTGGGGGCGCAGGTGAGGGTACTTGATCCAGCATTGTTCCGAGCCGTGCTTCTTGCCACAGTGCAAGCAAGGACCATTACAATTGTGAACTTTGACTTGGGAAGTCTTTGATGCAGACTGTCCCATACCAGACCAGCAGAGAGACTCTTCAGAGAGTATTTTGCTCACTAGAGTCTCAATCTTTAATTCCAAAAGTGTTGTTGTTGCCATGATAGCAGACACCATTGTCGAATAACTGTCTGGAATTTTTGACATGATGAGGAGAGCCTGGGTAGGCTCATCCAAGGTAATGCCGCTGTTGACAATATCCTTGAGCACAGTTTGAATCTTACTGATCTGATCCTGCATTGGCTTGTTATCATCCATCTCTCTAGATTTGATGAGTGACGAAAACTGAGACCAAACAAATGCCGTGTCGGGGGTACCGAAATGCTTCTTGAGCAAAGCCCACATGTCCATTGCCAATTTCATGACCTCCTCACCATCCTTAACCTCATACAGGAGGTGGTGGAAAGAGTTGTCAGTGCACATAAGGATCACACCCTTGGCATGGGCATTTGCCTTCTTGTATTCCACATTCTTGAGGTCACCTTTTTGCAGTGCCTCATTGGCTTCAATGAACATGAGGTAGACAAGCATCTGGCTCAACCAGACCTTGTAGTCCGACACCTTTTTGAGGACAGAGATGCTTTCAGCCTTCATGTCCGACATGCTTGTGGTCAACAAATGAAACTCCAAGAAGTCTGAGACCTCTTCTTCTAAAACGACAGGTGAAAAAACAGGAGATGCAAAAACGGGTTCTTCTTCTTGAGACTGTGCGAGTAACTCCTCTATGTCCTCTTTCTCTTCAGAATGGAAGAAATGTGAGAGATCAGATGGAAGTGTAGTTGGGACGAGAGGAGGAGGAGACTCAAGGGACGGGGTAGGAGATAGCACTCTAGAACCAGGGATAGAAGGTGTCTCAGTTTCAGGAAGAGACACAAGGTGTGCGGTTTCAGGTTCTAAACTCTCAAAAAACTCAGAAGCAAACAAATAGACAGTGCCTGTTTCTTGCCAATGGTCAACAGGAATTCCACCCCAGCTGGTACCTCTATGGTATGGACCAGAGAAACGATTTTCACAGACAGTTTGATCACAAGGATAGAACTTGTCTTTGTCTCTCTTGTGGTAATCTCTATGCTCAAGTGAGTTGTAGAGATGGGTGTTGAACAATAGAGAGCGCCTAACTAGGCAGCCAAGTTCACACACCGGTACTCCGGGTAACAGGAGTAACACATGCATTGTAGATAGAATCACATGCATCGGGATTGGTACTATACAGTAGCTTAGTCAGACGGTCTCCTACATGTATATAAGGACCCCTGTAGCGTAGTACAATCCCAAGTCGCTCAACAGCAACATTCGTGTGCATCAAGCCTCACAGCTAACAAACCAGGTAAGCTAGCGTCCCGCTACACTGCGTAAGAGTAGCCTGCTCGTCAGGTTATGAGCCCTGAGCACTGCGCGGTACTGCGCCTTTATGGCTGCGTCCGCTGCGGGTCAGGTTAGCTTGCCTAGACGTCGCCCTTAGGGGCTTTGACGTCAGGGGGAGACTTTGCGCCTACATGGCAGCAGGTCGGGCACAGCCTAGCTGTCGCCATCCCAAACAATGAGTCCAGTGTGGTGTCAGCGCCGTTCCGGCAGCATAAGTCAGAGCGCTGATAATGCGTTGCAGAAACCTTATCAACCAACCGCTCTACCACCACCAACAAACAAAAATGTCGAACTCTCTGCAGAACCTCGTCCCCGTCCTAGACGGATCGAACTATCGCCGTTGGGCCGATCTGATGAAAGCCTACTTGCAGTCGCAAGGGGTCTGGATTCTCATCGAGCTGCCTGACGGTTTCGATGAGCCTGTTTTGGCTTCGGACGGAGCAAACCGCTCCGAAGTTCTCGATTGGATGCAGATGCAATCCAAGGCTATGGGCAGCATTCGCTTGCGCCTAAGCGTCGAGGTCTCGCAGCTTGTCAGGACCAAGACAACTGCAAAGTCCATCTGGAATACCCTAAAAGGGCTCTACGGAGGGACTAGCGCCATGGGGGCTTTTGCCTTCTTCAAGGCAGCTGTAAACGTCCGTATTCCGGCCAACGAGCACCCCGGCCCTGCGATCTCAAAGATCCAGAGCAATCTCGACGAGCTCGATGGAGCCGGTCTCTCTCTGCCGCCGCAGATGAGAACCCTGATTATATTGGGGGCCGCTCCACCTCGGTATGAGACAGCTATCCAGCTGGCCCTCAACAAGATCGAGATCAAAGATCTCACACCGAGCAGCGCCCAGGACGCCTTAACCGCCTCCTGGGAACAGTCGAAGAACAAGGGGCAACAGTCCGCCCAGAAAATCTCTGCTATCAAGCAGAAGAAGGGCAACCCATCCTTCTCGCAGCAGCAGCGCCCTGAGGGCAGCAGCAGCGCGGGGAAGAAGGAGTGGAAGGACAAGGGCAAGGAGAAAGCCAAGGGCTTTACTCCTAGGGGGAAGCGTGGCGGTAAAAACCGTGGTAAGCCGCATTTGCACGACGAGCACGCAGAAATGCACATCGCCGACACCGTGTCGATCCCCGCCCCGACGACCAGCACCGTCGTCGAGTTAGCGCCTTCGGGCAGCAGGACTCGAAAGGTCGCAGCACCAGCCCCTAACAAGGGCAAGAAGCGCGCACGTGGTGACTGGCTCGGAGAAGCCCTCCAGCTCGCAAAAGACCTGGACGTCGCCGGCACGCCGGAGACAATCCGCGCGCTGAAGGAAGTCGTGAGCTCCGCTCACATCGAAGAAATCCCCTCGGACACCGAGTCGCGCGCCTCAAAGCGCAGCAAGCTCAGTGACGACGACATGGCCGATCGCATCGACGAGGTCATGCGCGATGAATACATCAGCGAGGACGACGACTTCCGCGACGCCGAAGAAAGGTCCATCGTCTGGGCAACAGACGAAGAAGACATCGACGCGCATGACGCCGAGCTAAACGGCATGATAGCGCAGGCCGCGGGCCTTGCGCCCCCTATCGTCGACAAAAGCTTTCGGAACCCGTTAACGGGTGAGCTCCGATGCATGGAGCCATATGATGGCTACGACGACTGGGGTAATGAGTACGTCGCTCAAATTCCTAACCCCAAGCAAGTTGCTAACAGCGCTTTAACAGCCGCTTCTAACTTGCACAACGGCGCTCGGACATTAGTTAATGTATCTCGTAGCAGCTTAAAAATTATACAATGTATTCGTTCGCGCGATTTCGCTGCGTGCTCACGTTGTAAGGGAAAAGGAAAAAGTCGCTTTTCAGCGAATGAGTGGCTACTGGACTCAGGTGCATCTTTGCACATTACAAATGATATAAGAGACTTCTCAGAATTCGAGTATCTCCAGACTCCTATCCGTACTCAAACGGCACAACAAGGAGCGGTAGGAAGCATAATTGCTAAAGGAACTGTGTTCCTAAACTACCAAATAGACGAACAATGGCTGCAGACGCGCCTATACCCTGTCTATTATATGGAGAATTGCTCGGCTCGTCTCTTGTCATTGGGGATGTTCCTCCAAGACGGACTAGACTTGCGCGCAACAGCGCAGCATATCAGTCTGTATGAACCAGGAGCGCGGAAACCTTTATTCAGGTTTACACCGCAGCACCCGGATACTACCACCTTCACCCTCGTGGCTGAATCGGGTGAAAACGTTCAGAATATTTATGTGAACGTAAATGAAGTCGATTATTCGACTATGCATCGCCGCTTTGCGCACCCTTCAAAGGACGTGCTTGCAAAAGCGAAGGAGCATACATCTGGGTTTCCCAGAAAGGTGGAGATTCCTAAGGACTCACCAATATGCCAAGGATGTGCAAAAGGGAAAATGCACTCTAAGTCTTTCCCGCCGTCCAACTACCGGGCAAAGGTACCGTTTGAACTTATTCATTCGGACTTAAAATCTTTCCCAGTAGATTCCTATCATAAGTACAAGTACTATATACTGTACTATGATGACGCTTCATCGCACGCGTGGACTGTAAATCTGCGCAAGAAATCTGCAGCGATTACAGCCACAAGGCAATTCCTAGCCATGGTAAAAACTAAATATGGAAAGACAGTGCAGAAGTGGTTGTCTGATGCAGGGGGAGAATACGTCTCCGCTGCATTCAAAGACCTTCTAAAGGATAATGGCATAGAGATCCTTCAGAGCTCGCCGCATACTCCTCAGGAGAATGGCAGAGCTGAGCGTTTCAATAGGACGCTCATGGACAAAGCAGAGGCAATGCGCCATGATGCTTGTCTACCTCCATCCTGGTGGGAATTCGCCGTGGATCATGCAGTCCATGTTTACAACAGGACGCCAATTCGTCGCCTTAATTGGCTTACCCCCTACGAATTGATAAACGGCGAGCCGCCATCTGTGGCGCACCTGCGCGTTTTCGGCTGCGGTGCGTACGTCTTTATACCCAAGGACGTTAGAAAAAACGGTCTATCGCCCAAATCGGAGCTGATGATTTACCTTGGGGGAGATGGCTCTACAGAGCGCACTGGCGGATGGCTCTTCATGAGAGCACCAGATAATGTTTTGTTCAGATCATCCACCGCGATGTTTGACGAGACTATGTTTCCTAAGTGCCCCTTGACAAATCGTCGGGGTACAACTCGAGTTTGGCCACCTCGAGAAGAAATGATCCCAGAAAATCAACCAAATACCACACCTCAGGTAGATGAGGATGATGATGATGATCATCCAAAACATCACCTTCCTAAAAGGGGAAACGGTCATGTTCATGACGATGAGCAGGAGCTGCAGGATGCGCCCATAGACCCAGTACCGCCGCCCCATGCACCGGTAGAACACCCTGCG